CACACCCTGAAGATTCAAATACATGTACTTACGGATACGAAGCTTGCATAAATCAGATGAACTAAATATAGCGTTTGAATTTTAGATAAATGTAAGTATCATCATGAAATATGTTTAACTTTTATATTTTTTCTATGTGCTTTAAAATATAAATTTAATTAGTTTTTTTGTAAAAGCAACTCGTGGTATATATAGCTATTGTTGATGTTAAGTAAAAGCGATTTTATCTATTATCAGTTTCATTGTATTAAATAAAAAATTTGTTCTAAAGCATAAATTACATTACAATTAATTAGATTATGTAAAAAAAAAGGCAACAAAAAAAATATATTGAAACTAAACTTAGACAAATTCGACTTATCTATCCCTATTGAGTTTATCATATTCAACTATCTCAGTAACCTCGAGGACTAAAAAATAAACCAATAGTTTTAAATGATCCCATGAACTTTTTTATCAACAAGTAATTGAAAATCAGAGTTAGTCAAGAACTCAGGAAATTTGGGAAGTTATGAAAGTACATTCATTATGATTATTTTTTTCTCAGTACTGTAAAAATATTTCTATCGTTGTTCTAGTTGTAAATGATAAGTAATATTGTTTAAATGATCAAACTATGTGAAAGCACCTATAGAAAACTAAAATTCTCCAAGTGAATCATGAAATAAGAGTAAAAGGAATCATTCAAAAACTGAATTTCTGAGACGTTTTCAGCAATTAAAGTTAAAATGAACAATCGAAACTATCTTTCCTGTGGGCTTCCTGTCTGCGAGTAGTCGAAATTTTGATAGACTACGAGTCGTCGAAACGTGTCCAAGGAGTCGAAAATGAATGCACCATGGGACAATGTTTCCGACTACTCGATAGTTCGATGGGCTCCGACTCATCGGAATCATATCGAATAATCGAAATAATCTTTCCGATAGGTCTTCTCTCTTCGAGTAGTCGAAAATAAATGTGCGATGGGAAAATCCTTCCGAGGGCTCGATATCCGATAGTCACTGAGGAGTTCGAAATTCGAACAGAACGAGGAAAAAATGTATATTTAAGTTTCGACCACTCGTCGTATCCATCGTTGGCTTTTTTGGGGGTCTGCTTGGGTATTAAAACCTAAGTATGGAATATATCAATAATATTATGTGCGTTAAGTATATTAAGAACCTTCTTAAAAGAAAAGTGTCGCTTAATATATAAAAACTGAAGTACGATACATAATTCATTTTAATATTCTTAAACGAAACCTTTACTGTTCATCTTAGCTTTTGCTAATTTATATTCATTAACATCAACTTACCATTGAAAGTCATTCTAAAATTTAGAAACTATTTGTTTTGTAAATCTGTATGTTAAAACAAACTAATGTTTGAAATAGCTCCTGAATCTCATTAACAATTAATGCATTAAAATGTTTTAATTTTTGTCAATTTTTGATCGAAATTTTAAAATTGTTAATTTAGGTAAATTTGATCTTGTTCAATCAGGATAAAATTTTCATTTAATTTATCTTTTACAGATTTTTCTAATGCTAATTTTTTTTATATAGATTTTGTTGATTTTCAGAGACAACATAGATGAATACACAAAGGTTTTTGTAATTCATCAATTTTATGTTCAACATTTTTAAGATGTTTACTTGATTTATCCATTGTTGTTTGATATTATTCTCAAATAAAATTTGAACCATATGATAAACTACTAGGTCTTATAATTCTGTTTGATAACTCACTTTACTTATTTGTTTTTCTTATAATGTATTGATGTAATTAGCTGCAGATGAAAGTATTTGTGAGAGTGTAGTTGTGTGAGTATGGGTGTGGACATCCACAACCTTCACTGGAAATGGTAAAGTTATACACAGTTTAGGCAAGTAACATACACGTGCCTTCTTATTCGAGACGGATCAGTCAGAGAAGCAATGCCTCAGCATGTTAATGTTAAAGACTTTTCAAATGTTGATTATTTATTTAAATATAACAACTTTCTGCATTAAATAACAAAAAAAACTTTAAAACATATTTGGTGTGTCCTGCATATCTTCATGAACTCTGAGTATCTCTGCTCGAGTCGCATTTGATGGTCTGAAAAGAGAAACGTTCTTATTGATTGCAGTATAAAAAGAAAGAAGTCTTCACTTTCTTACCTTGTCCTATTGTCAAACAGCTGTCTCGCTTTGCTTGCTGCAGCATCTGCTAAATGTAAAACGCTCGGAATTGACTCACTCAATCGACTATCAATACGTTGATCAGTATGACAAAGAGAATAAGTGAGTTCCTCCAATTCACTCAATGAATATTGAATTTCGTTGACGAGTACAACATAATTCCCAATTTTATTCGTTCCTAAACCTGGTTTATGTGAACTTAAGAAGAAATTGAGATAATTTGTATTTGAATTAACAATGGAACTATTGACAACAACGCCAGATTCAACATTTGCAATATCCGTAGGCGCGACCACCCGAAAGAGGCGCGTGTGATGACGTTTTTTGACTACGATGAATGTTAGAAGAGGCGAGGATGAATTTGTTGGATAGATAGCTAAAAAGAAAGAGAATGCTTAACAGAATACACATAAAAATATGAAGGTAAACTACGAACACTACACGATAGAAACTAGAGTTTTACTGTGTTATAGGATTCCCAAAACTTGAAAAAGACTTTACCATTGAATCTCTTCTATGCAGCTAGAAAAAAAAATTGCTTCTTACTTTGAAAGGCTTTCCTCAAAGCCATCACTTCGTCATTTTGTACACGTTCAAACTGTCCATCATCAACTCCATCGCGATAGAAAACAACATGTTCTGGCAGAGCGCCTTCATTACTATCTTTAAATGCGATTAACAGCTCTTCGACCATTTCTTTCAACAACAATATTGCCTCTTCTGATTGCTTTCCTTTACGTGGCCATTGACGAGAAACACGTTGATTTGTTAATGTACACTCAGAATTCATACTTGCAACAACAGCTGCAATTGATGGTAATTCACTAGAATAATTATTTTTCGTGTGTTGGACGTCAGCCCCGATAAACATTGTTTTGACAGGCGTTTGTAACTGAGCTACTTGTTTATTTTCACCGCTTAGTTTAGTATTCACTGATTTTAAAAGACTGTCACAATAATCTTTTAAATTTAACATTCGCTGAACTTTTGTGAAGTTAGCACATTGAGTAACAAGACCTGAAAAGAGAGAAAAAGAGAAGCTATTACAATTTCATAGCTAATAATTAGATATTGACTAACCAAATTCGATGCATGCAATTTGTTTGAAGACTTCATGTATTTCTAGATTTCGACAGTTTTCAAGACACAGAATGAATTGACACTGCTTGTTTTTGAGCTCAGACAAACGATTTCGAAGTCTGTTTTCTAGATTTCTATCAGCAAAAATTTCACATTCGTCGGGATATTCAGGCAATTTCATTCCTTGCCGATTAGCAGCCTGTTAGAAATAGTATAAGGAAAAAAAATCTTCAAAAGAATAAATGAGAAAATATAAAACTTACATCGTAGAAGTTGTTCAACAATTTTTCCTGTACTTGTCTTGCATTTTGTTGTTGCCGGTCCGTCAGATATATGAATGCCATGTTTTTAATTGAGACTGGATTTGTAAAACCACCTTGTCGACTGAGAGTAATTTGACGTTTTCTTAGAGTTTCATAAGTAACTGCTATCATCTTCTCACAATCGACTTCTAGTTGAATTTCTTTACACAATTCATCATCATGGAAATTGCAGTTTCTGATAGCTGCCAAGATTGAATGATATCGTTTACTAACTGGTGGTGCTGGAATAGGTTTCATGCTTTCATCTTCCTTCACTTGTTGCCATTCTCGAAGACAGCAAAGCTCTATTGGTAGATCAACTAAGTTTTGTGGTTTGCCTAATGAATAGGCTTTCAAGCAATACAACTTTGGATAACGAAGCTCAAATCCTAGATGCTTGTAGTAATCTAGGAGATGGGTTTGTTCTTCAATGAAAGTTTTTCCAGGAAGATCATTCGAAAAATGTCCTGTGAGAACATATTTATTTTGATGATCTGATTGAATCGTTGTGACTTCAACATCTTTCAAACGATTACCAATTTGATCATATTGTCGATCTGATAGCAATCCATGAAAAGGAGATTTATTTTGCAGAAATCTTTCCCAAATAAATGTTAAAAGATCAAGATGAGGGTAGAATCGAGTTATTGTGATATCCACATTCAACATGGGACCCGATTCTGTGAGACATATAGCCTGTTTGAAGCCTGTAATGAGATCATAGGGTCCATCTTGAGCTGGTTCTTCATCCCATCGGTAGAAGACTGAACCAATTGCTTTGAATTGTTCTTTTAGCACTTGTTTGATCAATGTTTCAATAATTCGAATCGAAGATTGATCTAAATCATTTGTACTACTTATTGCAGATAAACTTTTAATTGTTAAACGACGCTGATATCCTTGTTGTTCTTTCTCATATATAATTGGAAGTTTATCCTTGAAATTTGTTGTACTATAGATACAACTTCCTTCATCGTACCAACAAACAGCTGTTGGATGAATAGCTTTGACTAGAAGGAGGTCAGAGACGAACTGATGACGTTTTTCACGACTGGAAATGTTAATGTATTTCTGTTGTTTTTCATGGTACTCTTCAACGATGACATCATATTGATAAAAGGTGAGATCACGAGCAAATGAACATGGAAAATGATTGGCATAGATGACGTCATCCGAATCCTTCCCGACTTGTTGCGGTTTTGTTCCTGGTGGCTGCACTGAATTTGAAGCTTCATTCTGTTTCTTTGGTGTTGTTAGTACTAATGCAGCAAGAGCATTTGTTTGTTGATCCATAGATTTCTAGGAAGAGAGATTAAGTTGCAGAAAGACACTCTGAGATGGCATTAAATCACTTACATGTATGGCTTCATGTTGTTTTAATTTCTCTTTAACTTTATCGTTTGTGATAGACATTTTATTTTCGAAATCTATGAAAGAAGCAATATACCGAAATTTAAGTAAATATTATTGACTCACTTCTTTTTTTCGTTCGTTCTGTTCTGTTTGTTTTTATTCTCTGTAAGTTGTTTTTTTTTGTATCCATAAATTGAATAAACAAGTATATTTCTGCACCTATATTTATACTCTCTCATAATGATTAATGGACACATTTTTTCTCCATTCGAAAAAACCCATATTGAGAGTATTTTATCTTTTTATTTCTTCATATATCATAATTTGGGTCCGCAATTGTTGCGTAAGATGATGAGTCATGTTCTTCTCCTACATAAGTATATTAACATATTATAAACTTTCAGCTATGTGCCATCTAGACTTTTCTTTTTTCTGCATTCTTCTCAAATAACTTGATACCGAGACATTTTGCGACTATTGTAATTGTAGAAGGTATTAGAGAGTTTCTATTCCACACGAATAAATCGAATGGTCTATAGTCATTAAAAGTTTTTCAACATTAAGAATGAGACGATAAACTTTTATCTTATTGTCTTTATTCATAAAAAACAAAAAGATTTAAACTATTTTCAGTGAATATTTTTTTTTCAGATATTAGAAGAATGCGCTTTGATGAACCTAATGAACAAGAGAATAGAAGAATTACAAGTTAATCTTAGTTATAAATAGTCAATAATGAAGAAAAAAAATTCATGAGAATTTTGTTTTTTTGATAATGATTGAGATGATTACAACTATCCATAGACTTAGAAAATGGAAAGAATCTATGTGAGTATTGGCGATGTGAAATATTGAAAACAAGATTGTCAATCAATGCAAAAAATTTGACCAAATTGATAAGAATTACAATTGTAGAGATTACCTTCATTGTTGAATTTTAGATAAATTGGTACACAACAAGAATGCAGGCTAGTGTCGTTAATGTAAGTATTTAACAAAGTTTTTTAGAAGAAAATCATATTAAATACATCGTTATTAAGAGCACTTGTTCAAAAACAAAAATGTCAAGTCTTCTTCTTTCAATGATTTGGATTTAATTCAAAAAAAAAAAGGAAGAGACAAATATTTCTAGAATTTCATTTTCAACCATTCTCTTCATGAGAACAGCTTGTGACCATTAACAATAGTGTGTAAAATTATAAGTTCATCACATATTGTTTAGGAACTTCTTTCGATTTCGATCTAAAATTCTAATGTTCTTTTGACATGTTATGATGTATAATGTTTCAATATAAAGTTTAAGGGAGTTAAACGTTGATATTACTTCTTTTACACACTATAAAGATCTTTTCATTAGTGGCTTATATTGTGACATAATAGGAAACTTTTGCTAAATTTATATCTATCTGTGAAACGATAAGTCTGCTTAGAGATATTCAGTCTTTTCTAAAAGTAAACAATTGTTTTCAACACAGTCATTGAGACACATGGAGTTGTTTCAAGATTAAAAAATTCAATTATCATACAGTCTCTCTTACACATGTTTTTTTTAAAGAAATATATACGATGCAAAAGATCATACTACGGAAAAAAATTTTTCTAAATACTTTTGTCTATTATTTATTTGTTTGCTTGTGCGGATTTCATTTAGAACTGATCCTTTTAATGTAAACATCCTCACCAACATCAAATAATGAAGAATTAGCGTGCTTGAGGATGTGATTTTAGGAAACGAAAATAGGATCCACTTCGAAGCCTACTCCCACCTCCACACTCCGACCTTTGTGTAAACAATGAATTCATAGTAAAATTAAAGTGATGGATGTATTTTGAACCATTTCCTTGAGGGTCTTGTCCTTACATCTTTTTTCTTCCTTAATTGTTTTGCCAACCTTCAAATATTTAATAATCGAATACTTTGTTGAATACTTGAAATTAAATGCAAGTTTCAATTAGTACATGTATGAAGAGAAGTTACGCAATGACTAAGATGGACGTATTGGTTGTATTTTTTCGTACAAGATAGAATGACATATTTGCTAGCTGAAATAAACTGATGAGTCATTAGAACTGACCCGCATGAAAGACAAGATTAATCGAGATGAACGAATTGTTGTGTACAGATGTTTGAGATCAAGAACATTGAAGTGAGAAATCGTTCGTACTTGGCTTGTGCGAGCTCTACGCAATATAACTTTTGGCTCTGTTGCAGTTTATCATATCTTTAAACTGCTATGTCGAAGTTTTTTTTTTTTATTCATCTCAACTTCAAGCTTTCTTTTCGTATATCATAGAAAAACTCATACGCCAAATTGCTTTCACACAAGAAGAGAGGCAAAACTACACAGTATAATTACCGAATATATTGAAGGGCTCATTCCCAAAAGAGATACTTTTTAATACGACTCTTCTGTATTTTGTTAATTACAGCTACTCAATGAATTCTATAGCTACTTAATGATTCTACAGCTACTTAATGAATTCTATGGCTACTTAATGATTTCCTATAGCTACTTAATGCTTTCTTATTCCTACGTATGATTCTATGCAGCTACCTAATGAATTCTATGACTACTTAATGACTTTCTATAGCTACTAAATGATTTCCTATAGCTACTATATGAATTCCTATAGCTACTTAATGCTTTCTTATTCCTACCTATGATTCTATGCAGCTACCTAATGAATTCTATGACTACTTAATGAATTTCTGTAGCTATTTAATCATTTCCTATAGCTACTAAATGAATTCCTATAGCTACTTAATGCTTTCTTATTCCTACCTATGATTCTATGCAGCTACCTAATGAATTCTATGACTACTTAATGATTTTCTATAGCTACTAAATGATTTCCTATAGCTACTATATGAATTTCTATAGCTACTTAATGCTTTCTTATTCCCACTTATGATTCTATGCAGCTACCTAATGAATTCTATGACTACTTGATGAATTTCTGTACCTATTTAATCATTTCCTATAGCTACTAAATGAATTCCTATAGCTACTTAAT